TCACACTCATTAGCATATTGGAAGTATAAACCTTCATAACTTAGAAACGCATCACTCAAATCAAGAAATATTTTACCATTCAACTATTTACTTCATGTAGAATCAGTACTGAAAGTATTGTCGAAGGGTTCATTTGCACTTTAAGGTGCTGACACATGGTGCAACATTGCAAGCAACAAATTTGAATCGGGGTGACACACATTGCAACAAAATCATGCAAAATTGCTTGTGTCAGCCTGCTATGTTAAGATATTTGGTCAGCAGTTATAAATTTGGTGCAAGCTGATTGGCTGGAAACTTCAAAGCATTGCATGTAATGTTACAGCCATGTTCACATGATGAAATCTGTTGCTCGCAATGTTGCAAGAGTAGAGCGCGATTCAACTTCAGATTTGTTGCACGCGACGTTGCGTGCAACAAGTTTGGGGTAGACACACGCTGCAACATTCCTGCTGCGTGCAATGTTGCACGCAATGTTGAACCATGTGTCAGAACCTTTGAATAAATATAGATACTTTTTAAATGTCCAAAATCCTAAATTGATTACACAATACATCCATCTAGTAAGTGATTAATCCTGTGTGTGAACTTTGGTTATTTTCATCCTGCATGTCACATCTTACAATAGTATGAACAAATGTGTATTTTGTGTTCTTGTGTGTACATATACAAAATTAATTTATGATATATGTTGTAGCATTCAATTTGAGGGTTTTTCCCAAATAACGGTGCCCTTCAAAACAAAAAATAACGCAAATATATGACATTTTGAACAACATGATTACATGTATTTGTGTTATTCTTTGTTTTGAATCCAATATTAAAATTGTTGTTAATGAGAACCTGTACTTGTACAAGTATTAAAAAAGCTTTAGATATCATAGTTTTAATCTGTGTAATACAAGATACAGAACATAAAACTATATACATATATAGTTTTAATCTGTGTAATACAAGATACAGAACATAAAACTATATACATATATAGCCTAATGAATGTATTGATTATACAGCTTCTCATTAATCCCATATAGGTAACTGTCCAATTTTTTCTTAATTGGACAGGTCTTGTTGATATGGGATGAATTAAGCAGCTATATAATTAATAGGTAATGGGATTTCATGCTCCCCAATCAAGAAATAATTAGACTCGAAAAACTCTTCTGACTGCCAAATTGGACTCGGCCTAAGGCCTCATCCGATTTTGGAAGTCCTCGGAATTTTCCTCATCCCATTATTTCTTAATTGGACAGCATGGAGTCCTATTACATATAATAATTATTAAATTTTAGTATAATTTCAGGCTTGAATGTACATGTAGAGTTTTGCACGCTGTGATAAGATGAGTGACCAGTGATTCTGAGATGATAGTCTACTCGAGCGGTGATTATCAGGTTTCCCAAAGTTTGCCAGAGCAGAGGTTAATAGTACAAAAAATGTTAAACATGGATTTCATCTTTTCTCTGATATTCAAGTCTAAAATTATACTACAACAATATTATTCCCCTCAGACTCAGTGATTATGGTGAATATTTACCTAGCTGCTCAAAGACTCATTGCTCTGTAAATATTCACCTATATTCGCTTTACCTTTGGTGAATAATAATTTTGAAATATCAAAATCTACCAATGTGTTATCATTCATACCAATTTCAATTCCAACACCACCAAGTCCACTAAGGAAAACTCTAGATTTACTAATACTGTGCATAGCCTCATCACCAAGCATGTATCGTTGTCGACTACACATAAAAAAGATAAAATAAATGTCAATAATGATAGTGATAACGATGATTAAACCTATTCTTGACTTTCACATGATGTCATGAAAAAACTAAAATCCAAAGTATTCACTCCACGAAACTGTTTGTCGAATATTTTGTTCGATAAACTGTTAATAGAAAAGCTTCAAAAGGTTCAGAAATTTTAAAAAACTATTGAGCCGTATTTTTTTAATTATCTTAGTCACGTGATATGCGACGCCACATCATTATAATCATTAGGATGACTTACAAGGCAAATGACTACAATCCTACCAAGTTTCATGGACACAGCTTGTATTGCAGTGTAGAAATTGGTACATGGACTACCAGAGGTGTGGGGCCACTAGAGGTGTTATCTTGATCATTAATTGTTCTTAAGGGTTATAGCTAATATAGTTAGGTCAGGGCTTAAAATAACAGCCGGTCATACAATTTAATACTTGTCGGCATGGCCATGGAGGGTCATCAGTTAATATTTGACCTTTTGTGAAGGTTCCTTGTTGAATTCATACAGGAGAGCTAAAAACATATATTTTTTAACTTGACTGTAAATCCCTAGCAGGGTCGTCCTTCACGAATTCGCAAGATGTGATCCTATTAGTGGGCACACATGCGTAGAACAATAGGAAACAATGACCTTTCCCCAACCCAGCCCCTAAACCTAACCAATCACAGGGGATGTTGCAAATTCGTGAAGCCTAACCCCCCAGCCCTCCCCCCMTTGTCAAATAAAAAACCTTCCTTCCCTTAGAGAAACTAGTCTAAATTATCTCAGTGAAAACATGGCCATTAATTTTTTTTTTAAGCCCTGAAAGACTAATTTTGGACTGCCCTACAATGCCTCGAGATAATTGGAACATGGATGAAGTAAACAAACCTGTACAAAGAGTCGTCAACAGAGTCTTGCTTCTGCATTATACTGTATATTCTCAGGCTGGCCAGACACAAATCTAAATACATTTAAAAAAAAACAGGATAACCAGAACAAGTCATCCTAAATGAGACCACTCCAGTCAATCAGTAATCAGCAGAGCGTTTAGGGGCAGGGGAGGGGGAGGGGGAGAGGGGTTAGAGTGGAAGCAAGAAAGATGTTACTATATAAAAATTGATCGGAGTTCAAACTACAAGCCTTAGTTCACACAACTGAAATCCAAACAGCTACAACGATATAATTTGTTTACTTGAAAACCAAAACTGTTTAGTTTTCCGCAGTATCATGCTCAAAAAAACCCTGTAAATCTTTCAAACCATTCCGGGTTCCTGACACATACACTTTCAACAATATGATACTGTAGTTTATATTCACTGGTGAAGTTAAGTCTGTATAAGTGTGTAGTAAGAATTATACTAAATTATACCTTACCTCCTATGTTTAATGTTTTACGTGCAGAAATCTTAACATGTCGACACAGATCTACATACACATTCTACATTCTATACGACACCGAGAACAACACCTGGCTCTGCTGATAGAAATAAAGAAAGTATATCCGCTGACCAAAACACAGGAACCCCAATCCAGCCAAGGCCACCCGAACACATTTGCCACAAATCAGCCAATCAAAAGTAGGAATCTGAACAATAGAGTTGCTACAAATGTCGTATTTGAAGTCATACATTATACTGTTTTTCTGTATCTTTGGTGACACAGATTACTAATTTGTGAAGAAAAGATATTACAAGCTCTTGTTCATCTAAAATCATGGGATGTCATCTCTGATATTTTTTCCAGAAAGTACTGGTGATAGACATCTCGAAAACAATATCAATATCAGGGAGGATGTCCCATAATTTTTGATATACTTTTGATATACTTGTATATATGCACAATAGGATCAAGGTTTTTGCAAACCCAACTGACTAAATTAAAACCTTAAAGTCAGAATATAATACTAACTATACATTTCCTTCAATTCATTTCTTCGTTCAATAATCAGTGTTGTGTGTTATTTTTAAGTTGCTGCAGGTGGCATAGACAGGTACGCATTCAGAGTATTTCTGTCTTAAAGAAACAGGTGCCGACTGCATGACTACTTTTCAAAGAAATTTTAAAAAATGCGCAACTTTTTATTACCATTGAGACTTGATTACAAAATTAATGCTATATCTACCGGATAATATTGATGAACTTGTTTTGTTTTGTTTTGTTTTCCTTCTTTTTCTCAGCGATCAATCAAGGATTTTTTGATCATACATGTAGAAGAATATTATAAACTCATTTGCTAAAATTAAAATGACATGAACATATTAGCTATATATAGTTATTAAGCAAAATCAGCAACGGCGAAAGCCATGAGATACTTCATCATAGAATGAATACTGCCAAGAATATCTTGTAACTATGTCTACGACAAACTCACATCGACAAAACGATATGATAAGTGATTCAAGAATGTGGTGTTGTACCCAAGACTTTTGCTGCTGTTGTTGTTCTTTGCTGGGACTCTCGCAATCTATTCTCACTCGCTTCAAATATGTTTTAATTTTGTCTATTGGAACAGGATTGTGTTTTTTAACAATTACGCTGTCCAATTTACGCAGAAAAGTTCAAACAGTACAGGTATTCTGTAACACTACCGTCGGCACAGCTACATGTGATAAACTCTTTGGATATTTCGCCGTATATCGTATCTGTTTTTCTCTTTGTGGGTTTCATTTCATGATGTCACTTCTTTTGATTGGAGTAAAGTCTGCTCAACAACCGAGGATGATTTTTCACAGTGGCTATTGGCCTCTAAAGTGTTTGGCACTGATTAGTGAGTACATGTCATTTATCTTCAGTATCTGTACTAAAAACGGATGCGAGGGAGACTACTCTATGTCTTGCTCATTGATAGTTTTACTCACCGCTACGCTGCGCGTGCTTCCTATAAATATTTTCTGCCTGCCTGCCTACCTGTCTGCCTGACTGCCTTTTTTCAGTTTACCGTTAATGGCCAAGCAAGCTTAAAGCTCAGTACAAGCTTCAGATTTATATACTTATTCCCAGAGTCTTAGTCCCGGTATATTTTGATTTTGTAGGCACGGCAACAGGAACATTCTTTATTCCAAATTGGAGTTATTTTTACAAAGTCTTGATGGATTTAGGGATGGCAGGAAGTTTCATCTTTACAGTAATTCAAGTTTTGCTGCTTGTTGACTTTGCACAACACTGGTATTCAGATACCCAAAACAAGGAAACCGGAGACAATCATAAGTGTCAGTAAGTAGAATCGAAACGATCACTAAAGTAGGAAAAATATTTTCTTCAGCTGAGAGAACTTTTTTATATCATATATCCCGTCCGACTCTGTTTCCAAGTTCTTATAATAAAACCTTTGCGAACGTCACGTGAKTTACTTTTGATTCACGTGATCACGGGTTTACGTAAGCTTGCAGGCCCCTCCCCACCCGGTCCGTCGTACATAGTAATTGTCTACCCCTAATTAAAATACATCAAACGAAAACATTAATACTAACGTAAAATCTTAACGTAAAGTCTTATCTTTCTTTGCTCCCCAGAAATGTTTTGCTGTTTACTTCTGCGTTGGTGATGTATATAGTTTCCTTCGTATTTGCAACCGTGCTATACCTCTCGTATGGATCCAAAAAAGCTTGCAAAACAAACAGACATTTGATCATATTCAATGGTTGTCAGTGCCTTGTTGCTTCCCTATTATCAGTGTTACCAGCAGTACAGAAGGCTCAAGCTAACTCAGGTCATTACAAGCAGTGTACTAGTAAGAAATAAAAGAGCCGGAGAGAAAGACATGACTAAACTCCCATAGGACGTTTTCCATTTCAAACGATTTAAAAAATAGTAAAGTTTGCTGTTGTTTTTGTTGTTGTTTAATTTCCGAAAAAAAGAAGGAACAAGGCTTTATAAGGTGTGGTTATTTTGTGGGACGTGAGTGCCTTTCTTCGCCGTCTATCTCTATATGTCTTCCATTCTCCTAGCAGTAAGATAGATTAAATAAAAATATATCCTTTGGTTTGTCACTACCTGAAAGTAACTCAAAAAGAGAGAGATAGAGAGAGAGAGAAAGAGAGAGAGTCCCAGATAGGAATAGAACCCATGAATTAAATTTGTTCAGTTATGATATGAAGCTCTTTTGCATTTTCAGGATTCCTAAAATCAGCAGCAGTGACAATATTCACCGTATTCTCGACATGGATAGCCCTCTCTCACGGACCCCAAACCACTTGCAATCTCAAAATGAATGCCTCTCTTCCTAAACTGAATGGACCAAATGACTTAAGCATTCAAGCCATATCAAGCAGTTGTTTAACATTACTTGTCCTGATATATGAATCCATCTCGTCTGGTTTGACAAGATCCAAATCAAGTGAGTATGCTTCTTTTTCGCTCGTTCAAAGTCCTAATAATTCACCCATCTACAAATGCCTTCATGAATCGAGCATGGAAGTGTGGATAACACGGGGTCATAAAAGGTAACAAATATCAAAAATACTTGGTCGAGTTCAATGGCATTGCAGTGAATTATGGGACCATCTTAGGAGCATATTTCTAAGAGGCGTCTATGTCTTTCTCTAAAAGGACCCACAATACATCGCAATGCCAACTGGTGACATTCATGTTGCTGTACGTATTGTCAAACCAGTTTAAGGCATAACGATGACTGATATAAAACAAAATATTCACTATCAACAGGATTCACGCTAATTTTTATCCCAAAGAGTAAGAGAAAAATCTAGACCCTTTGCAAAATTATAAGCTTTATGATCATGTGCAGAAACATCTCAAGCTTCACAATTACCAAATCGAAAAAATGGAGGCTTGGAATGTAAATCTGTAAATGATTAATTACATAGTGTGCAAAGGATGTGTGGACTGACCGTGAGACTATAAAGAATACTCAAAATACTATTGCGTGTGTGTTTTTTAAAAAGAAATATGGCCATTTGCGCATGACAAGAAGGATCGATCATTGGCAAAGCCATCCGTTAAAGACAGTGATTCAGATGACGTGGTAACATACAACTTTTCATTTTTTCATTTTGTGATGCTCGTAAGTGCTACTCATGTAATGATTAACTTAACAAACTGGTATGTTCCTGACTCCAATTCCATGGATTTTAAAACTTCCTGGACAGCAGTGTTAGTGAAAATGATCTCAAGCGCTGCAAGCGTGTGGGTTTATATATGGACTTTGATTGCGCCTGTTCTGCAATCAATCTTTTACTCTACTACAAGATCTGATGAGGAATCAAGCATTTGCTCTGACTCAAAAGGTCAAGGTGAATCTGGAAAAAGTCAAGCATCAGCTGCGGAAATGGGCGACCAAATGAAAACGGTTCCCTCTCATTTAGATGCCATCCAGATACAAAATAAAGAAGGTACCGACAACAAACATATTCCGGTGCGTCCTATTTCTAGTAACAATGAAAGCGTAAAGGTTTCGCACGGAAGTATGAGTAGGAAATCCTCATTACATAGTTTGAGTCCAAAATCTGATACGGAAAGAGAAATGCTTCGACTTCAAAACAAAGTAATAACTCTTCAGGAAAAGATAGCAAAACTGCAAACCAAAGTTGCAACGCTACAAGGCTTAAATATTTAAATACTGTTGCATAAATAAATAGATAGAAAATAGACTTCTATAAAATCCCACATTCTCTTACGGGCTCCTTCTCCTCCTTACGAGGTACAAAACACCAACTATCAGCATCATCATCATCATCATTGTTATTATCGTCATCATCTTCATCATCACCATCATCAATATGAGTCGGCAACATGAAACACTTCAGTACTATACGCCTACAATAATGCGTTTTTTTTTTTTTTTTGAAAATGCATATTATTCGATGCGTTTTGGCCATGCGTCAATGATAAAATGAACGAAAACACTGAGTTTTCCATTCGAAAACGCTATCCGGATCGTATCTAAGAGTTTTGTCGTTTGTGGACTTATGAGGGGAGAAAACGCTATATGATAGCGTAAAAGTTTGGATGCGAAGCCTTCGGTGGGTTTTGGGTGAGATGAGTGTTTCGAAAACGTGCTAGTTTGGACGAGACCTGGTTTGTCTCCAATAAGTCCAGCTTGGTCGCTAGTTGGTTTGATAAGGAGTTGGGCAGACGATGATCTTTTGCTCGTTTTAGAGGAAATAAAAATGTCAGTGAATGCCATTGGCAAGTAAGCCATAGAATATCCGTTACACTCGTCAATCTCTTTTCTTGTTTACTATTGAGAAAACACTAACTGGAGACAATATTGCTTGAACAACAAAAACTTGCCGACACCAAGGGAAAACCCTCATAGAAAGCAGAGAGAATGATACTCAAACCAAAGATATTTATTTGTCTTTGCACACAACAAACAGGCTCTTGGAGCATTTACGTGCACATTGAAAATACAGTCAAATATGAGCAAATTGGTTCTTAAAACATTCAAATGATTCTTTAGACCTAAAATCTACATAAAAAGGAAAATTGTATCATTTTCATAACATTATAATCTATTTATTCTTTAGCAAATAGGTTCAGGGGATTGTTTATTCAGGGGCGGATCCAGAAATTTGTTCAGGAAGGGTTGCAGCACACACAGTTAACCCAGGGAGGGGTGCACCCCTTAGAATCAAAGGGAAAAAATATTATTTTGTACTGGTCAAATCTTTGAAGTAGGGGGACAAAGTCGAACCAGAGAGGGGTGCGCACCCCCTGCACCTCTCCCCTGGATCCGCCACTGTTATTATCACAGTGTACGTGTTGTTATTGGGGGTGGAAAAGGAGCATTGTGTTTATATCAGTAGTACGGTTCAACTGAAAGAGTTTTGAATCCTTTGCTTTCTTTTGTCACATGAACTAACATGTTGACCATATTTTTGCTATTTTATTCTCTTTGGAATGAAATCTAGCACTAAAAACTGAAGAGAGAGAAAAGTCTAATTATAGCTTTCCTTAAATTAATATTGACAAAAGACTGCCAGTGCTTGAGATTTGTGAATATGATGAAGGAATACAGACGTGCAACCATCGCAGCAGGTTTTCGAAAGCTACTTTGTACATGCAGCCTTGGATATAAAGTGAACATCATTTAACTAAATACGTGTGCCATGCCAAACTCTTTCAGATTGAAAGCTTTGATTTCATATTTTGTTTGCTCCTCTTGGCTTCCTTTCATCACGTATTTTAACTCAATCGTCAGCGTCAGGTTCTTCTGTTCAACAAAAAATAAGCACAGTTGTCATGGTTTAAATGTCACGACCTCAACTCTGGGTCTGAATAAATATTTTACGTTTGAGCGTCATGTTTTTCCCTGAGAATAAGACTCGTTTCAGCTGTATCTAACTATATTCATATGTTTTCTAAGTGCTAAAGATACTCTAAGGAATGACATATGGTCTGAAAACCGAAAATACTACGGCCAGGGTATCAGGCCTATTGGGTTCTATTCTAATACTTGTAAGCAAAAACTAGTAAAATACACTGAAGTTTTTACTTTCAAATGAATGGGAAGGAACAACGTAGAATTGGGCCACTATCAGACCATCCATAAAATTCTCTCGTGGCTTTGCCGATCAAAACGCACAATTTGCAATGGATCATCCAGTWGGGTTATACTGCTTTTCGATAGTCTATTTTACTGTACCGTGAAGTAAAGCGATAAACAAAGGTTGTAGTGCTAATAAAAAGTTACATCGTAGTTGGTTTTACCTCGAGTCTTTGAATGTTATAGATCTCACTGATTCGCTCCACAGGAACGGGGGCTATACGTTCTGGCGTGTTATTCATAGGCCATGTTCGAGCTACAGTTTCAGGCTGAAACATATTACAAACACAGACTGAGTGTAACTGGCACTGAATTTATTTCTTTAACAAAACGATAAAAAGAATGAAGAAGATAGGAAGGGCGGAAGAGATGGAAATATATGAGGAGGGAAAATCAAATTACTTTTTCTTTTCAGAGAAACAAACTCAAACAATTTCAACAATAAACTGATTTATCTACGTATTTTTTGTTTACCGGAACAACATGCCTCAGTATATTTGTCGTGGAAGGGTGGAAATGACATTCCTCAAATTCCTGTTATTAGAAAAAATACATATTTGTCATTGTCGTTCTTTTTCAAAATCTCGCTTTACAGTGCAGTCACTTTGGCAACAACATGGCATTCAAATTCAAAGGTAGCGTAAAAACCTTTAAAGTATTAGCCATTCCGAGATGAGGTTGAGGGAAAAAATGGGTCAACATGACATTTCATTGCGAGACTGCGTTAGGGGACTACTTGACGCCATCTTGGAAATACTTCCCTAAAACAGTCCACCTGAGCGGTGAATTTTGTTTTAGCCAATCACAGCGCGTTCAGCTGTTTTACCGCTGGCCCGCTTGTTCCCAGGCTACTGTGACCCAACTTTTGCGTATTTTCTTCTGTTTTCTTTTGACTAAAATATAAAATATACGTGCCTACAAGAAGCAGAAATATGGAACCCGCCAGTATGGTTGCTTTGTTCTTTCAAGCTCCAAAAATGCTTAGGCCCGGTCATTTTGTCCACCCATGCTTTGCGCGCCGCGTTCACCGCTCAGCTGGGTCCCACAGTGCACAACTTGACCCTGTTTTTTTCTCAACCGGAGACCATGGTATCTTGACCAGATACGAAATACTTTTACAAAAGAGAGAAGGAATAATGAGACTATTGCTTACTTTTTGTAGGTGTGCGAGATTGGCGTCACACATCGTGGCATCTCCAAGGTCTAATACTCGCAAACACACTAAAATAACATTGGATAGCCAGTTTGTGTGTTCAAATCGAATCTCTAGCTTAATACCTCGATACTCCAGCACTTGTTTCTGTGGGAGTTCTGCAACAAACGAGAAAGAAGTAATGCACATCTGTATTGTTGGCATTTGCCAATAGAGCAGCGATTACTGAACTTGACAACTATTAGTTAACTTGCCGGCTTTAAGAATCCCACTTACTATGCATGTAAAGCCATTTTTCACTTCTTTGTTGAGACATCGGCGAATTCTCTCTGACTGGATCCATCAAGCTGTATGCACGAGCTGTTTTACTGTAATACTGGGGACGCATTCTGGATACGTATTCATCATCTTCTACTTCGGCTTCAATGTCTGTCAGTCAGGCACGATAAAACAAACTATATCATGACTTAGTTTGGGGTTCTTTCCCATTACTTTCATTTTTTCACCAAAGCGTCTCAGTTTATCGAAAAAATGTTTAAGAGAAAGAGTGGAAACGAAAATAATTAAACTAAAAAATATATCACTCCGCTGAAAACACCCTTTGGGAACGGTTAAGTCACAGATCGAAGTTAGGCTTTAAGGAGATAACAGGAGAACCCCGAGTAATAGAAACCTCGGATCAAGGGAAAGACCTAACAAACTACTCTACTCACACTCACAATCCGTGAACCCAGGACCCCAGAGGTGAGAGTCAATGCGTTCCAACTGTAATAGCACAGAGATTACTATTAACTTGCACTTATGAACTGTAACACGTACGAATGTTGTAGTGTTTTTATCAATACTAGATATCGTCGACACTTACCTGCAGCAACCAGGGAGAGAACATCTTCTACCTTTTTATCGATCATAATACTGCGCACCAAGTGCTTCATGTACACTCCATTCGCGTCACTCTTACGTTCATAGGCTTCGTGCCCTGGACTCCTTTAAAGACAAGACAAAAGTATCATCAGCATCAAGACAAACTAGAAGATTAATTCATATAGAATTAGCTCTCAATGGTGCATACAGGATTTTCCACGCAGGAAAAACTTTCACGATCGACTTCACAAAGGCGTATGTAATTTCATTCTACTGAGCGTAAAGAGCAGGACTGGCTTCACAAAATCTCATAAAAGAAGGGTTCCATGAAACCATTCCTGGATCCGCACTCTGTCTACTGTGTAGCATAAACAGCGCAATGCGGCTATCGCTATTTTGCAATCCCCCCCGACCGAATTTGCACCGGATATCAAAACGGTATTTTTCGCGGGGTCAAAAATAGTTATCGAAAAATGAACTCCTAATTTTTAATTCATTAGCTTTTCCCCCATGAGGGCAAGAACACCACAACAGCTTTTATGCCAATTACAGTGGGCCCTGTAGAGTTTTTTAGCACGGGCACTGAAGATGGTCGTCACCAGCGTCTTCAGTGGATCTTTTACGTCCTGTCTTATACAGGGTTATAAAGTGAAGACAGACGGGGCCTACGGTTTTAAGTCCTTGTCCGAGAAAACTTGAAGGTCTAACCATTTGCAGATGTAATTACAAAGGCAGCAACCTTCTCCTCAGTTATTTTAAGACCCTGAGTGTTGGTCCGGCCGAGGTTTGAACCACGACCTTACGCACAACAGACCGACACTCTTACCAACTGAGCTAATGGGGTTGCGGTTAAGTACCATTTCGAGTACCATTTTGATCAAGTTTCCCCCCGGGCAATCGAGGTGCAATAAGCGTCACCCGGTTAGCTCAGTTGGTAAGAGTGTCGTGCGGGAGGTCGTGGTTCAAGCCTCGGCCAGACCAACACTCAGGGTCTTAAAATAACGGAGAAGGTAATGCCTATGTAATTACATCTACAAATGGTTAGACCTTCACCGTGGCTCGAATCACTACATTAATGGTGGTCCCGTCCCTAATTAACTATAGAGACGTTAAAAGAGGTCCACGAGTTTATCAGTCGAATTACTGTCAAATAAGTGTCATCCTCTAGAAACAAAGTTTATATATTTAATATATGGCGTAATCGTGGTTTATAGTGTTACGTCCATGAACAATGCCCGTTGCCACTAGCAACAATCAATCAATCTAAACAAGTCGCTCACTTACGTTGCAAAACCATACACAACTTGGGCCTCATGAGGAAAAGGGTAAGTCGTTACTGGATAAGCATCTTTTGTATTCGTCCTTAAACGTAAGAATGATTGAAATAAGCTATAAATATATTGATATATAATGATAATGATAATATAATCATAAGGTGAATTTGGGATGTATAATAAGCAAGATTCAGTACTGAGACCCAGACTCTTTACACGGCCATCCCCACCTGTCCTGGGACGGGCAATAATAATAAAATAGAGAGTTTTAGATTTACGTTCACGGCAAACGTGAAACGTCAGTTGACCAGTAAAAAATTCTTTTAAATTGCTGGAAAAAAAATCGCAAAAAAGTCCAAGTAGTAGAAAAACAAAAGAGTATTTGCGCTTGGTGAGAAGGTTTGTAAAAGGTAAAGTAAAATACAGGAAAACCATGAAAACATGGTCACGTTTGCCGTTTGCGGGGAGAAAAAAAAGTCAATCTAAAACTCTCTAATTACAAAGATTCACAATAAGACACTTTTGAACTAAAAGAGTCAAATGAGAGTTACTTACATTTTTCTACATATGTCTAGCAAGAAAAGGTGGAAAGACGTTCTTTTTTCGTGCATTCTGAGTAGGATTTCTTGAACACATATAGCTCTATCTGGAGTCCAGTCCGTCTCAGCATCTATAGGAACAATGTAGTTTTGACCTCGGTCTTCAAATCCATGACCGGCGAAATACAGTAATCCATAGACATTTTCTCCTAAAAGGTCGCAAAAAATATCTATGGCCTTGTTCATTTCGCTGTGCGTTAAATTTATCTGAAATGGAAATGATTCACCCGGTTAGCTCAGTTGGTAAGAGCGTCGGTCTGTTGTGCGGGAGGTCGTGGTTTAAGCCTCGGCCGGACCAACACTCATGGTCTTAGAATAACTGAGGAGAAGGTGCTACCTTTGTAATTACATCTGCAAATGGTTAGACCTTCACGTGGCTCGGATGATCACGTTAATGGCGGTCCCGTCCCTAATTAACTATAGAGACGTTAAAAGAGGACCACGAGTTTATCAGTTGAATTACTGTCAAGTGTTATCCTCTATGAACAAAGTTCATTTAATTCAATTTTTTAATTTAATTCAAATATATTACATTTAGGCTCGATTATCTTTGGGCTTAAGCAACACGACGCTAAAAACATATTGTGTATTTCAACTAACCAATGAAATGACTTTGAAGCCCATACATTTCTGTCTCAGAATGGAAGCTATTGTTCTGGCATCGCTGCAGGTGTGTACCAAAGGACTTTCACCACGAGGAAGGTTAATATAATCGCGATTACCAATAACAAGCGCCACTTTATCGTCAGCTGGGGAGTAACCAGTTGAAAACGTTAATTAAGGACTTATTCTTTCAAGACAGTTTTTAGTGCAGACTGAGTTATTGTTTACGAAACCAAACTTTATGCCGAAAAAAACACTAAGTACTAAATAAACAAACGTTCATCATGTTTTACGCAACCGACGTACGTTTGTTCTGGGCTACAAACTACTCTGAGGGGACCCCTGTTAGGAAAGCGAACCTTTTTGAAGCAAGCCATGCATGGTGAAAATGGTAAACTATGAAAATCAAGAGAATATGAACTAAGAGAAGGAATCCCCGTGCCCCATCATGTGCACACTTTGATGCTATTTTTAGAATCTATTCTAAAAATATCATCCAATGATATCATTTATTTTATCGTTTGATTTTCTGCACGCGCATAGTACGCGCGCGCTCTACGCTGTTTTGCTAACGTTTTCTTGTGCTTTTCTTATGTTCAAATGTTCAAATCTGCCCTCAAGATGACGATGTAGGTCGAAAGCTTTGGAAAATAAATGCAAAAATACTCCAGAAAGTTGAACAAATTACTATTTCAATTTTCGTATTTTTCAAGCTTTCGACGTGCACATTCATATCCAGGGCAGAGTCGAAATAGCGGAAAACCCCAAAAAAGGAAGCAAACAGCGTAGAGCGCGCGCAGTAAATGCGCTTGCAGAAGGTTTTAAAATAGCATCAAACTGTGCTCATGATGGTTACAAGGCTATATAGGAGGAATTCCTTCTCTTAGTTCATTTTCTCTTGATGAAAGTAAATAACTTTGTTATTACCAGGATCAGACATTATTCGTTTTTAGACTTACAACTGCGTCTCAAATGCCAAAAACTTAGTTTAACGAATACCACAACAATGATTATTTATTGACCGGATCAAAGTATTAGAACAGTACTAGTATATATATAGAAAGTATAAGGGTGATACATAAGGAAATAAGAATAATATTTAACATTATCTGATATGTTACCAATTTGAGTCAATTCCAGCGGTCTTTCTGAAAATTAGAAGAAAAGTTTAAATAAGTTTGATAAGGTAAATGTACAAGACAGCCGGCTTATGACTAGGATATGCGGTCAATTCATTAAGGAAGTTCTACACCGATCACGCATTATTCATTGTTCTACCTCCCTAGTTACTGTTGCTACGTCGTTGCTACTAAAAAATCTTATGAATTCGAGTTTATCTGGTTGGACACTCAAGCATAGCCGGGATCGGTCTATACAATAGCAAGGAATGCCCATTCACATGTTCTGACTGTACTTCCTAACAGACCTACAACAAAGATTCAAAAATAGCCGGCCGGGGTAAAAAGACCGATTTATGAATTCAAAAGCCCCGTTTACACTGGCGGTCTTTGCGGCGATTTTTGCTGCGATTTTTGTGGCAATTTTCGGAAATATAGAATCTTTTGTCTCATCCTTCAAAAGAGACATTCGCCTAAGAAAATCTTGGTATCCTGAAAAAAAATTTACAAGAAATTCTTTACCATTATTTATTATGGACAGAATCGCCAAAAAAAATCGCAGCAAAAATCGCCGCAAAACTCGCTAGCGTAAACGGGGCTAAAAGGTGTCGCCATCAAATTTCATTGTAAAACAAAAGCTACCAACCCTTATCTCCAGCGCAGACTGCTTATGGTTACTTACGTCCTGGATTTCTGATCCTCATCGCCTCTGATGGATCTGTATCTGTACCAAATACATTTGTGTTATATACCGGCCAAAAGGTCCGGATAGGGAAAAACTGTGTCAGAGGTATTGAATATACTTTAAAGACCGAGGGCACAGCTTTTCCCTATCCGGACTTCCTGGCCGATAAATAAATTATTTATTCCCTCTTTACTTTTCGACTTCAGTTTAGCAATCCGTTATCCCATGCGCGCATTTGGAGGACGTCAGGTTACCGGACTGCGGGCAGATACTGAGATATTACCGCGCATTTAAACAGCCGATCAGAACGCACAATTATTAGGATACCGAACTGGAAAAAATAAAGCCAAGTTCTTATTACGAAAACTAACAAAGCAAAATCATCTTTATATCCTCAGTGCCCCGGCGCTACGTCCAGTAAAAAAGCTAGGCATATGAAACTCTATAGGTCATACTGACCAATTTGAACAAATCAGTAAAGTGTTTACTTACAAGACTGCAGAGTTGCTATTCTAGACAAAGCATCGCCTTCAGTGTTGAATGCTCTACACGCGTAGTTTCCCTCATCTTGATATTTAAAGGGGAAAAATCTTATTTCTTGAGAACGCTCGTCACAAAGCCTTCAATTAAATATAACACAATGTTAACAAGAACACAAGAATATTGGAACATCCGAAAGAAAAAGTTTGAGTGCCACTACCCCCCCCCCCCCCCCAAGTGGACAAATGAGGGGCGGGGCTGCCATAGTACCTCTTTTATCTTGGGGGTGAAAACTAATGTCTGGTATACATCAGGCCTATGCCAGCCTAGAAGTAATGGCCCTTTGGTATAAATGCTAATACTTAATAACATTTCGAAGCCGGCCAAAGCGGCTTTTCTCACATCAACGAGAGCCAGCTCTGGACCTTTTATCGTTTTATCAAGAATCGTTTACATTTTCCCTCTTTCATAGGAAGGTTCCATATAAAATAACTTTTACTTACTCAAAGCCATCTTTGAACCACTGATAGTTACAAGTCTCCTTTGCGCGACAAGCCAAAGCATAGTCTTGACCAACCGGGATAACTGCAGAAAGTGGATGTTCAACAATCGTTGGAGGATGAGTACCTGATAAAAGAAGGTAGTAAAATCATTTTAAAAAGTTATTTATTTTCAAACCGATCGATGGTATAAGAAAACTTGGGCTGATCAGTGTTACGGCTGACTATCGAAAGCGATGGAAAACAACACTTTGAAAGCTAAACAAATGAAAATACTTAGAGATGTTAATGAGTAACACACATCGAAAATATACGAGAAGAACGAGATTCAACAAACTTTGTCGACTGACATGCATCAAATAAATGCCATTCTTAGTCAGTGGATGAACGCATTTTGCATTTGATGTTCTTTTTAAACGGTGGCAATCTTTATATTCTGGTAACAACGATGACCACAATGAATACACTATTCAAAAAGAGTTTTTTATTTAGCACTTACATTTTGGTGTTCCATGTACCTGAAGTTCAGCAACCTTGGATTTTTCAGTCCCCAATGGATTACTCACGATGCATGTATATTTTCCGCTGTCTCTTACTTGGACACTTTTAAAAACTAGTTTGTTATCACAACCATGTCGAAACTCAGCTCCATCTTTCAGCCACAAAAACTGAGGTGGTGGGAATCCTATGGCCTTACACACTATTTCTACTTTCTTGCCTTCCTGTACGACTTGCGACTTTGGATGGTCAATTATTTCCACTGCCTCTGCGTTGAGTAAACAAATTAATGGCACAAAATTAGCAACTGAATAAAAGGTTTTATTCTTTCCTTTCTCAGATCTATTGTGAATGATGGAGTTCTGTGCATGCTTTCATATTTTCTTTTTCCATTTCCCCCTCGTCTTTAGTTACCCTTGCTAAACCTCACCAACCAAACTGTTATCTGTTTTGTTGTAAAAAGCACACACATCAAACTTGCCCTGAACACAAACTTTAGTCTATTTACAAAAATTTTACCATATTTTATTCACTGAATTTTCTGCAGTTTTGTGTCAGACTTCCTCAAGGCACGATGCACGGTGCCACTGAAAACATTTTTGCTCTCTCTAATAAACAATGTACTAACTGTTTTAGTCAAAAGAATCAAAATAGACGAACTTTTTGCTAAGATTTTTTGTCTACGTTGTCCATGTACATTACATGTATGTGTAACTACATCACGTTTATCACAAAATGTGAAGTTAAATTTATACCAAAAAAGTAGGGGTGGTTGGACACCCAAGCTCTGCTGCCTAGGACTTACCATCAGGTTTCAGAAGTTCAAGTGCTTCCATGTGTCCAATAGCCTCCAGATAAGCGACTAGCTGTTTGACAGTTTTACATTTGTGACCCATATCTTGCAGCAATGCTTCAGTTGAGCTACCACCTCTGTTCATTCCAGCTCTGTCAAACTGATTTACCTAGGGTTTTGAATTTCTTGTTAGCATTTTTGGTTTGAGAGATTTCAATAAGTTTATGCTAATTAGGAGGTTGATGATAACATCTCAACTCACAGTTTCCTTCAACACAGATTTCAGCACATATCTCTGGGAGTGTTTGATGAATGTCATTCAAACTTTGCAGTATACTGTGTCTTGTATTTAAATAATAAAACATGAACAACTACAAACTGGTTGCTGTAGCAACTAACTGGTGTCCAGGCCCATAATAACAATTTTCACTTTTAAGCGATTGCTTTGTTATTTTATGACTTGAGGAGAAAAGTGACTAAATTTTTCTATCACTAAAACAGATATTTTAAACTAGCGTAAAAACTCTCGTTAAGGTAGAAATATCAAAAACGTGAATTTTAGGTAGGGTTAGCCTGGAACCAAGACCCGGGGGGGTACTCTGCCAGGATTTGGGTAGGGGTGTTCCGCAGGGATTCTGAAAGGGGTACCCTGTTCATGACAAAAGATATAATTAATAATCTCGCATATCATTTTTTTATGACCATAATAACCAGTTTCGGTCAATACGAAAGTAGAAACCCTGAATATGACAGGAAATTCAGGAAGAACTTGGAACTTGAG